AATGAAGTAAGCCTATTAGTCACTCTGGTGGATTCTAGATGTTTGCTTAGGAAATCCTGTCTGGGCAGTCAGCTTGCTGCTCCATACGAGCAGTAAGTTGGGTGGGTAAAATGGATCCAATTGGAATTAAATTCGCGGCTCATGGAGAGCCTCGTAGCTCAATGGTAGAGCGTTGGCTGCGCAAAATCCTTCCCTGTTGTTCGTCTTCCACCGAGGCAGCGAATTTTTCACTATTGGGTCAACCGAATTAAGCAGATCTGCCAAACTCCTCTAACAATTATAGGTATTCATAGTATACACCCTAATTAATTCCTTCATCAAGTGAATTAACAGTCTGAAATTTGATAAACATTTGTTTGGTCGACCAACATAGACACACTTAACCCCATAATTCTGTCATAGGAGACCGGCGGTATAATTTTACTTTAATTTTTAGTTTATTATGTAGCTTATTAGTATAATATTAGTCATCTTTTGTTTAAATTATTTTGGTATGTAGTAGTTAGATAAGTATGTTTATCTAACGGTATACACATCTAACTAAACCAAACTACTCATTAATTCACCTCTTCATCAAGTGAATTAGCACACAATCACTTGAACGATGGTTCCGTTCAACATGCTTGATTTAAGGAAGCGTCGAAGACTTAGTCAAAAAGAGTGAAATAGTCTCAAGTGTACGGGTAGATTAAGTTGGAAGGAGATTACTTTCCGGTTGAGTAAAACTCCCAGAGCGATTTCCACGATTTTTCAGATGACGTGGTAAAGCATACCGTGAGGGCGAAATACCAAAGAGATCCTGGAAACTAACGAAAATTGACGAGCTGGAATGTAGCAATGGTCACGTTGATCAAACGCTGAGATGTTTGATGACACAAACCGATGAGCACAGAGGTTTGGACAAGTATATATGTAGTCTGTGTGGGTCCCTACTGCTATCCCTTACAGTAAAGGGATTATAAAAATCATACGGCGCCTACGCGATTTTGCCCCTTATGATATATAAGGCGCCTATTACCGACATTCTCGGTCATGTTCAGTGTTGGGAAGTACGCATATCCATGTCCAATCCAACCTTGTCATTCAGGATGATAAAACAAAATTAGCAGAGCACTGTAAAAATGCAGTCCAGAAGGCAACTAGTACGCTGCACTGGATCAGAAAAACGTTCAAAATATTTCCATCTGAACTCTTCGGAAAAATATTTGGGGCTGTTGGGAGACCACATCTTGACTACAGAATGCCAGTTTGGACAGCGTGGTCGAAAAAAAGATGTGGACCTTCTCGAACAGGTGCAACGGAGGGCGACAAAGACGATCGATAGTCTTAAGGACTTATCATATCAGGAGAGATTAATAAAGCTCGACCTATTTCCCTTATCTTGCAGGCACTTACAGTGCAGCCTGCTCGGATAATCCGGGGCTACGTTTCCTCCCTGAGATTGGAGGATTTTTTCGG